CTTGTAGGCTTCGTGATATAAAAGCACGAAAATGGTCGCATGATTCCAAATCAATTATACGGGCGTTTGGAGGCAAAAAAGGAGTTAAAGGTTGGAATTTGAATTTCTCCTATAAATATATATAAATATGTACATATATGTATACGTATTAATGTATCTGCTTCCCTTGTAGATTATTTAAATAAACTTTGCCCATATTATGGCTGGATATCATTTTTGGAAGGGAAGAATCTGAAGGTTGCGTCTATAATGGTTCGTAATCGCAGGGCAATAAATTAATAAGGAGAACGTAGCTTATGAGCTTTTTTATTTTTTTTCTTCCAAGCATCGCGATAACATGCAATTTAAGAACAGAAATATCTTTTATGAGCATAATATTGTACGCGTACGAGACTCCTTGGCTTCCCTTTTGTGACTGTCCTGCTCTCCACACACCTTTCGCGGTAATATTGATGCTTTCAAGTTTTCAATGATTCGACCAACTCCTGGTTGAGAAAGGCGGGCCGAGTCTGGTGCACGTAATTTTAACCAGCTAGCTGTGTCAGTCAACCTTTTTGGAAAATGTACATTTAAGCTGCGCCTCAAAAACGTAGCGATAACGAGTATACTCGTGTAACACGAAATTAGGTTGTAACGAAATAACTTGACGAAATCACGTACGCACTTTCTAAAATACATTATTATGGAACACACACATTCATAATGATAAAATTTGATAAGGAAGTCGGACCAGAACCGACCATGTTGACTATATTATATATATTAGCCATAGAAAAAAAGTTTTGTACTTGTATACAGTGATGAAGATCTTTCGGCTTATTTCGAAATGATTGATAAGTTGCTTAATAATGATAATTGTAATAATAATGATAATAATGATAGCGGCCACGATGCCAGCAATTGCACCTGTTGTGATCTATCGGATAGTATGGCAAGCGAAAAAGAGGAGGGAAAGTGCAAGAAACCTGAAGAAGGGTTATATAGGAAAGAAGTTTTCCGCAAAGACGAATATGGAGTTTCTTTTGCTGAGAGTCCAATAGTTCACTCCGAATCAAGACATATGGCCGGTATGCAATCATGCGCGCAGATACCTACCATAAGAGAGACAAATCAAAGTGAAGAAATTTGTGAAGTTCGCGAAGGCTCGATATGTTCTTTCAATGAGTCGCAAGAAAATGCAGTACTTGGCTATGACAAAATTAGTTAAAAAAATTCAACATCTCGTTTGGCACTCGAGAAAAAAAAATTAGAAGTTGAGCATCAGAGATTGGAATTGGAAAAGAAGAAATTCGAATGGCAGCAAGAGAAAGAAGGATGCGAACTAAAATTAAAACAAACAGAACTCGAACGCTTGTTTGAGTTGAAAAAATGTGAATTAGATAAACAGGAAAGTACTGAGAAGGAGAAAATGAAGCTGCAATTGGAGCATGAAGCAAGATTAAAAAAATATGAAGTGGAAATGAAGTCTAGACAGAATCGAAGTACAACCTCGTGCAGAAGCTGCAATAATGGAAGGAGCAAAGATTAAAAAACAAAAAAAGAAAGCAAGAAACCATGGTATAAAAACAAAATTACGAAATTCAAAAGTCAACACTAACTTGACTAAAAATAGGGAGACATTTTGAACTGCATATTTGTTCAGTTTTCAAAAATTTTTGACTTTTCCACAGTGCTGTACGTGTAACTTCCATGTTCCCAGAAATCGAAGGAAGAAAAGTATAGAACAATGGAAAATATTTTGAATAAAATTTATTTTTAAATGAACTATCGATTTTAGCGAAAACTTCCTCTAAACTTAACTATAAATCCAATTTGTCCAAGTTACTGATGGATATCAAGTAAATGGCGCTACAGTGTTGAGAAATGAGAAACCTTCTTCCTTGTTATACACTGCATCACTTCTATTAGAAGAAAATCTATTAGATTAGTGTAATGTCTGTCCGTTATATGTTCTGTCCATATTTTATGTTTTTCGTAATTTTTCAAAGGTTCTAACGAAATTCGATACATTGACATAAAAGTTGGACTCTATTGCAAATGGATTTACTTGGAATATTTTTAGGACCACTTCATACACATGCAGTTAAGGCTTTTTTCAAAGAGGAGTTATATGAAAAAATTGATTATTTATATTAGTTGTACAAATGAGTTCCTCTCGCTAAAATTAGTTACTTCATAAAACGTATTGAAGCCCTTTTCCGGAATTTCGGGCACCTTTATTTACAACAACGTGGGTTTAAAGAGACGAGTGTAATTAATGGACTCGGCATTTTTCTGTGTTTTTAACTGGATTAATCAGGGAGAAGTGCTGCTAAAAGCGCAAAAAGGTCAAGTAGGCTTGGAATGAAAATGCAGTGAGCTACAAAATAGAAAGTAGTTTACGAGACATCGAGCAAACAATGAAATTTGCATATGTCCGTATGTCTCCAGCATAAGCAAGCCAAAAAGTGATTCTCATTTACCGCGGGTTGCGGTAAAGCTTTCCAGCTCACTCTAGTCGATGTAATCATATTTACCAGGTCAACGGGTCACAAAGATTGTATTTCGCCCCCAAACTCGTCAGTTGCTACCGCGGAAGTATCCATAAGCAGTCCGATAAATAGGAAAAGACCATAGATGAAGATGGTGCAACAAGTATAAACTGTAGGAATTTATTTGTACATACTATACTATTTCTTGAAAATTTGCTTGAAAGCAGGAAACCTTCTTATGAATCTCTTTCCATAGAGAAGTTATTATCGGAAACAAGACATTATATGAGAACCAGACCTAATTTTTTGCATTCCGCTGTGAAAGTTTGCACAGACTAGTGACTTGCGTACAAATTTGCTGTATTAAATTTGGAGCACATTGCTCTGTTATTTTGCACTCATCCAATATCTTTGGACATAAGTGTCGAATAATATGTTATATGATAAATATATTAATAGTGCTACAATCAGATTACTTTGGTTGATGCTTTGGAATTTTTAAAAAGTGAACTCTGGATTAGCAATAGATGACGACAACATTTCAACTTACTTTTACAGTGACCACGTCCCAGTCGAGTAAAGGTACGGAAAAGTGCGGAGCAACTTACGAAGAGGAAGAGCTCAATATTGTCTTATTTAAATAAACAAATAGTGCGTAATGTTCTTAGTAGCTTTAAACATTTGGTATACGTAAATATATTTACAGACAAAAATTTACAAAACGATTAATGACTGACTGTCAACGAACAGAGTAATTCGAATACTATGCTTAGAAAAAGATAAGACGAAGGTACCTCTTTAAAAATTTCAGGATTCATTGATAATCACATCACATTTTCAAAATTAAATGAGCACAAGCCAGTGTCAATTAATTTTCTTGCGGTTGTAGCCGTTTCGTTGAGTTTTTGGAATTTGATCATTGATTGAATTGTGTCTCTCAAAATTAAGAATTTCTGTTGTATCAGGTTCGGCATCTACCGAAGTAGGTTCTATAAGTTCGATGGCGCAACGTCTAGGAAACCAACCTCGAACAGGACCTTTTCGCTTCCTCCCTTCCATGCTGTTCGGGCCAGTAAACACACGTTCTCCAAACAGCCAATGCTTTCGAAAGCCTGTTACCCGTATAATGTCATCCTTTTCGAGACGTATACGAGGTTCATCGGTACAAGACGTTGCTAAACATACACGAAAGCCTTGAGACCACAAAGGCACAATACTACCGGTGGCTTTACGTATGCATTTAAAAGTTCGTGTACGTGCACGTTTGTCAAATTTCTGGGCGATTTGCTCCCTACTTTTCAGTCAACTTAACAGTAATTATGATTTTATCAAAAAATTTTTTTGCTTTTTCACACGCAAATTATTTCTTGACGTTAGCTTACCTGCGGTTGCCATTGCTTGGGTAATTTCCCGGACCTATTATAGTCCCCATCACATAATTAAATGTGGCCGCTGAGGACATCAATAAAAAGAGTGCTTGATTTAGAAAAGCAAATATGGATAAATTTGGCGGCCACGACATTGAATTCATATACAATGTATTTAATGTTATGCATTTTATTATACCTATAAGTAGATATAGTAAGAAACGAGTAATTATTTTTGCAAAGAAAATTTCTTTTTTTTGATTTCCTCAACTAAACTGAACATTTTTGATGGTATCTTTAAATTAAGTAATTAAAATGAGCTTCGTCTGCCACCACTTGAAGCTTACTTTACACACTCACCTCATAGATTGGGATAGGTCATTACTAGGTTAATTAATTAGCAAATACTCGCTGCAATAATTCCCTTGACATTAATTTGTGTGTTTATTAATAATCAACTAAGGCTTTAAACTGCTTTGCATTCATGACATCGAAATTTTCAAAAGAGTTTAACCAGCTCTTTAAACACGAAGTTTTAGGGATGAAAAATGAACTTGTTTTTATTAAAAACCAGGTAAATAGTGCACTGATAATAAACAAGTTTTCGATTAGTCAAAGTTTACGTTCATTATCATTCCATAAATTAACGTTCGTCAGTTTGCACTTTCGTTCGCTCGATTTTGTTATAGCCGTCATGACAGGGGCTTCCGTACACGTTTTATCTTTGAACATAATCCACTGTTATAAGAGCATAAAACTTCCGTTAACTTACCATTAATATCAGGTACAGATTTGTACACTTAATCAAATGGAGTTCGCGTAGAATCAAAGATTATGATGGAAAGCTTCAATTCGTAAATATATCGCCTGCTAATGACAATTAATTAATTAATTGTATTTGAGCAACCATGCGAGAATAAGCATATATGTTTGTTTACACTTCTCAATAATTGAACATGTATTTGTATAAAGTATGGGCACTTTAGAGAATAAGCGTATATGTTCTCAATAATTTTTATAAAAATAATAATAAAAGTTATCGAAAAAGAAATATCAAAAATGTCAAAATATTTTAGGACACTTTCATATATATAAATATATATTTTTTCGGAGTTTCTTTAATTTGGAACTCCGTAACAAAATTTTACTCATTGAAATTAATGGAAGCAAATTTGAAGCAAATACAATTTAGCGAAAATTGATCGATCCTGATAGGAGCTGTAGGATGCACCGTTAAATATCCCATTTGCTTTCTCCAGTCTGTATCATAATGCTCAAAGGATTAAAAAGGATTAACTGCAGTGGCATAGTGTATAAAAAAAGAGCATTTATTCCATAGGAGCCATATCCAATAGCACACAGTTTACTCGTTTTCCATCCAATGCCTCTTTAAACGTAACGTAACTGTGATTCCGTTTTAGTAAAATCCATACTCCAAGTATAGCGGCTCCCTTTAATTTATAAAATGATATTAATTTCTACACATAAAAATGTTCAATATTAAATTACTGTTACGGGAAGCGTATGTAAAAGATCAGTACTAAAAATCGCTCCTAAAGGTTTATTAGCAATTTTTCCATTTGCATCGCAACGTTCAGCTGGTACTTGTGTCCAGCTACCCGGTGCGGCTCCACAATCACACTAACGATTCCAAAGGCAGCTACCTGAAAAACTTTGAGAGGCTTATATACACCGGCAGTAAAAAGGAATATTTGGCATAGGCGACAATGTAATAAAGAAACACGGTGGAATTTTTATAGACCGTTTCTAATTGTGGGATTCGTTGTTTCCTCTTAAATAATTTGGTGTCAGAATTTCACAAGTTTTTGGTTTTGAGGACAATTTTGCTGAGGCAAATCCACCTTGTTTTAATTAATATTAAGCTTTAAAAATTATTTTGGTGACGCATCAGAGGAACTAATAAACTGAGGATAAGTTTGCCAAATTATGGATCAGTAAGGGCAAAAATCAAATTAATAAAGAAAACTTCATAATATATTCATTTACGCTGCAAGAAAATTATAAAAATGCAAACAAACGCTATACTGCCATATAAGGGCTAATAATTCCGAACAGTTCTTAAGTAGAAAAGCTACCATTTGCAACTAACTTCCATGATATTATAACAAATACAGGCTTATGTTTTATAAAAACTTTTGGGGCAATGTTCAACCTTGCACTTTTATCTTTATCGCATCTGCTTTGAGGAAGCTTTTCCTTATGTTTTCCAGTTTTTCTATAATTTTGCATATATATCTAATTCATTCTATAAACAAAAATTGACCTATAAACACGATATTTTTGCCTTAATTTTTAAATTCTTTTGAGCTAGGTCTATCTTAATTGATTAATGATAAGTGCATACGATTTTAAGATTTCTAGAAACAGATATCAAGATTGGATATGGTTAGGCCACCTGAGAGGAGCGTAGAATGGAGCGCAAAAACTAGTTTCTACAATTATCCTTCCCGCCCTATAAGTTACTAATGAAAGGCTAAAGCGCAGTAATCTACTTTACCCGGAAATAAATTACTTGCCAATTATATTTTTATTTTTTAAGGAGTTAACTTTGAAAAAACAAATATTGACACACAATAGAAAAGGAATATTACTTACCTTCTTCTATATATAATAGCATGAACTTTTATCGTTCGGCATAACTACCCATTCTGTGTTTTTTCTAAGACACATTCCAGCCATTCCTAAAAGGACATTGGCAAACCTTTAAGGTAAAATTATACATTCACATTAAATCCTTTTTTTTTTCAATTTTACGTAAATCGACAATTTTGGGAAAATTAAAAAAGCTACTTTCGGTTGTTAAGTCTTCCAGCTGTTTTTTGCTGTAGTGATATTTAATAAAGGGAAACACGTGGCCCGCAAAATTTGATAATTTGTTCACGATTCAAATGTCCAATTGAAATTTTCCATACCCCATTGATCGTTCTTCACATCTTTTAAGTACAAAATTGCATTCGTATTTCATTCTCACTTAATACAACATGTCATCTCTGCAAACGGCAGCTGGATAATTTTTGTTTTACAGGTGTTAGTGAAAAAAAAAAAGAAGAATTTAAATATTTGAAAAAAGGAAAAGAGGTTTAATAAAGTAATAAAATAACCAAAGAAAACAATTTTGAAGGAAGAAAAGGAGGGAAGAAGACGAATCGTTCGTCAGAGAAAAATTAAAAAGCAATATATATATTAAATTTTTTGTTTTTTCGTTTTGATTTTTTCTTTTTTTTTTTGGTTTTCCCCGTGATAACAACCAAAACAACATCAGCCCGTCTCCTTATGGACTGGGTTTGATCTTATAACTACTGATAGAGACTGTTTTGAAGATTTTTATGTGAATGCCACTGGGCGCACCAAGCGATCGAGGATGGGTGAGAATAACCTTCTTTCATCTCTCAATGGAGAGGATAACGCAAATTTGTCAATTATTCCTAGTAAAGTGGCATCAAATATCAACAGGGTCATGGCAATTAAAAATCTCTCGTAAAAAAGAGGTAAAAGAGAATTTTCCGCAAATTATTTCGAATGTCTCGATGACATCACCTATGACGACAATTTACCTCCACTGGCGAACAGGTCTACAATTTCGACCAAGGGTGATAATCAAAACGCCAACAAAATGTTAACCAAAAATAAATATAATGCTGTCGTCAAACGGAAATCGGTTCCTTTCAAATCTCCTCTCAGTTTACCCACCAAGTCTTCTCTCAATTCACCCTCCAAGCCTGGAACAAGCCTTCGGCGTCCGATAAGTGTAAACAACTATTTGCGGTCCTCAGAACTTGAAAGATTAATGCTCGCGATTCAAGAAAGTATCCGTCCGATGATCCCTCATAATCTTATTAAAGAATTTGAAGAAAAAATGTCTGTCTATCCCATTTCTTGCCCCGTTCAAGCACCCAGTACTACGAGGAAATCCGCTGAGGTTCTTTCTTAAGTTTCAACATGATATCCTATAATATTCAAAGTGTCCGACGTAACCTATCGTTTTTGGATTTTCTTAAGGTCAAACAAGATTGATTTCTGCATCTTAAGTGAAGTTTTTCTGAAAGACGAAAATTGTTTTGCAATTCAAATCCTTTTCTGCATCTTCTTTTAATTCCTGGGAAATCAAAATTCTTTATAAGCTCATGAGTGGTCACACTTATGACAAAGTTTATTTAAAAGTGATTCGTGCTATACCATGTGATGTTTGTGAAGTTTGCAATGTTAGTCTGCTGAGCATCTAATCTTCAGATGTCACAGGCTTGATGGCATTAGAGATTGCTTTAGCTTCTTCAAGTTATATGGCTGTCTCCTCGATCTCTTTGCAGCAAAAAATGTACGTCATCTCGGGGAACTAACCTGCTTTTTTTCTCCTTTTCTTTCCTTTTTTTTTCTCTTTTATTTTGCGTTCACTCATCTTCTATTACCATAGCATTCCTTTTTGTTTTCAGCCAAAGCTTGCAGCACTGTTTGACTTTCAAGACCTCAACAAGCACAATTACACACACACACACTCAATTACACTTAACATGCTGGCTCCAGTTATTACGGCCGCTCTTTTTTTGTTACGTTTTGTATATAATTGTGACCAAAAATTACGACAGTTTATTATCTGGACATATAAGCCACAAATCTATTGGCTCAGCCTACGAATATATGTATACCACTAAATAGGGCCGCGATAGTTTTAATAAATTGCGACTTGCAGCTTAGCATATAAATCTCATCCCGACTGGAATTTATCAGACCACAAGCCGGTTTCAGCGGAATTTCTAATTACCATTAAAGCAGACAAATACACTTATGAGCTTCATGAATTGACTCACGGCGGCAGCATCATATCTTTACCTTTTATTTTGATATCATTCTATTTGACTATGTTTTAATTTACTTTACAATTTCTTTTTCAATTTTTACTAGGTTCTCCTTTCCTCAAATATGTCAGCTGACTTTACAATAGGATGTGACTAAGAGACCATTAGAAATGTTGCTTATGGATAAATACCCGAACTCATTCAGAAACAATAAAAGAGTATTTGCAAATATACTTTCCGATTGTCTTCGTCACCAAGTTGTTGAGATTTAAAAGCCAATTTTAGATTGCAATTTAAATAAACCTAGACACCGGTCCACAGCATACAACACATATTTTTAAAATTCAAAATCATTCCAATTTTGTTCAACGTTCAAATATCCTTCGTATGCGTTTGTGTTTTCTCATTATACATATATTTTTCTTTTTTTGTATATGTATCAGCAACAATATACAACCTCAACTATTCTGTTAAATGAATAAGTGAAAAATACGTGGACAATTCCGCTGAATGGGAATTTACTACGTGTTTTAAGCGGAATGATCAAAAATTACTCTTTCAAAAAACTTATTATTCTTGATAAATCTAGACTGCTGTATATTTTACTTGCACTAAACATTATTTACTTATTTGTTTTTGAAAAGTTATATAAAACAGTTCTTCATAGTAAATTTAAATTAAAATGTTAAGAGAATATTCAAAATAATGCCGAATAAAAAACATGTTCTTAGTAAATTCGGATTAGAAGATCTAGAACGATGGATTTCCAGCAACTGGGACTTAAAAATTAAAGTTAGTCTTTTATTAGATAATCGAACTTTTAATATAATATTTTTTGGTTAGGAAATTTTTTTTGTGTATAATACATACATTCTATGTATATTGGTCGAAATGAATTTTAAAATTGGGCAAATATTTTTCACAATTTTTGGCACCACAGAGACAAAGTATCCCTTTTTGGCCTTGAGCTGTAGGTTGATTTTTTTGTATTATGCCTTCATTATAATGAAAGCAAAGTTCTTCGCCAGCTTTTATAAAATTCTTAGAAAATATGGCTGAAAAATTAAAGAAGAAAAACAATTTTATTAATTATTAATGAATCTAGTGGTTTTACCTATCTTTGGTAAGGGACAGTCAATGCGCACACTTTTGGCAATTTGGTTGGCAGCTATGATTTAAATAACGTCCAATATTACCTTTCCGACTCGGATCGACCGTGGTTAATAAGACTTTATTCGTTGTTCCGCCACCATTCGATATGTACTCACAAAGGCTTAAAACATAATTCATTCTTTGTCTTGTATCATTTTCTTGCATACGCTTTTGAGCTTCCTGTCTTGTTAATAGTTCACCGGCATATTCACATATAAAAGCCCCTTTTGGTATAGTTTCAGTAGTTGTCAAACCTTTTGATTGATATCTTTCGGAGTAAATGATCTTCAAATTATTTCTGGGTCCATACTGTACCAAACGGTTTACACATTTCTTTTGCTCACAAGCACATAACGAAGTGCATTCATAAATTAATTCTTGAAGCTTTTCCGGATTTAATACAAGCTCTTCACTTTGAGAATCCTTCACATAATTACCTCCATGATTGCAATCGACATCGCGAAGACAGCTTAGCCCACTGCAGTGACATTTACTTATTAAGGTAGAATTGTAATCGTCTTGCAATTGCATATATTCTACGTCTTGATGCGTTTCTTTAAAGAGCACATTTTCTAAGATATATTCGATACAATTATCTAAGTGTTCGTATTCATCGTTGATGATAATATTCGATTCCATTTGTGGATTTTCGCTTTCACTATTATAGTTATATAAAATAGTTAGTCAATTATGTTTTAGTTTTATTTCTACCATTATTGGAAACCTTCTTTTCGCTTTTCACTTAATTTTTATTATATATGATTTAAGCGCATTCTACATGTTGTTAATCACGTTAGACAACATTCTTCTTTGTGTTCTTTTAAAACAATTTCTATAAAGAGAGTATAAACTTTATTTCTGTTGTTTATTTAATCACATTTAAAAAGAAAAGTATCTGATTGTTTTCTTCCTTCCACGTCCATAGTCACAACTACTTTCTTTATTTGAAAACAATCATGGTGGCTGGTTTACAAGCAAGTGACACATAGGAATTACCGACGTGATTATCGCCTTTTTTTTTAGGAGACAATTGATTATCGCCAGCGAATTTGCTAACATGCTTAGATTCTCTTGACGATTGTCGCCTGCTTACATGATTACTGCCTTGGCTTACTTACGATAGAAAGTATAAGAGAGTGTAGTCCGTATCTTGCAGCAGATTACGTTTTCAGCATAAAGTAGAAATTTTATCTTTTTTTGATTTAGGACGATGATGGCGCTGTAAAATTTCAACTTACGCTAAATTTTTTGTGTTTGTGTTAAACACGTGCAAAACGTGAATTAATCACATTAGGAAGTTATGATTCTCAGATGACAATCGACTCTGTCATCCTTTTACCTTTTCAAATTATTTTCATTTCAAACGACAACGCAGACGATCTGGATATTCTTTTATCAACGCAACCTAGTGGATATTCTTCAGTATCGTTTACCCAAATTTCTGAGAGGTCCGAGTTTAAATTGGCAACCGTCTCCCAATCAATCTTCATGGGGAATAATAATCAAATGGGGCAGTTTCTACACAGTGAGACTCCAGACTCCCAGCCATGAATCTGGAGAACATTCTAATGGAGTTATAAGCTATTATCATTATTTCAATGATAGCTTCGACGACGAACTTTTGAATATTAATGTACCAACAATTACTACGTACTACAACAGACTTTTAAATGACAGTTTCAATAGTCAAATTGTTAAGATTAATTCGGAGGGCTTAATAAAATAAAACATTAAATAAATAAAAAACAATTAAAAAAGTATGTCTGTCTAGCCAGAGCGATTATGATGTGAATATGAGCTGCTAAAAATAAATTATGAACTAAATTTTGGTCAGTTTCTTCAAACTCTTGATAGGAAAACAAAAACGTGATCAATTGTAGTATTATCGATCAGTCGAACTCTACCGTAGTCTACAAGTTATTGCTAAGTATACAATTTCCTACTAACCTAGTTAAGGTAGTGGAATTTTAGTAATAAGCAATTCATATATTAGTAGTAAGCTATAACCTACTTTTAATTATACTATTCGCTTAAGTTAGCATTAATTTATTAGTTATATAAGACACCTGAGCATACCTCAGTAAAGTCAGAATATAATCAGTAGTGTCATAAGTCTAATAGAACGTAAGCCAAAATCTAAATAAAGAGTAACTAATTAAAGAACCTTAAATATTGAGTGGTATCACTACACAATATTAGCAAAAGAAGGAAAAAAGAAAAAGAAGCAATAGTAAGAAATAAGAAACATCAAAAATATTTTTGAAATAATTATTTTAAAAATCTCATAATTGTCTTCAATAGACCTGCAGACACTCAATGACTTCTAGAAAACGTGAGGACAAGGCTATACAAACATCGATGAGTTATCAGTTGGCGCAGCTTAAAAAATAATTAAATGTACGGCAAAAGCAATACAATATGGGGAGAATCACCTGAGGAGAATGTACATTGGATATTTCTATCGAAGCATCTTAGTCAAATATTTCAATCGAAACACCCGTAAAAAAGTGGATAGAAAATAATATTCAACAAGTTATCTTTCAAGGAAGAGATACATCTAAAGCTAATGTATCTATTTTTTAATTTATTCAAAATGAAAATCAAGGATTTGATATCTAAAATGAAAATTTTAATTTATTTTGTTAAAAATTAATTTTCCATAGTTTAAGTATTTTCTTATCATCAAAGCTGCAGTCAGTTTTACTAAATTCTTTGAGATAAGCAGTTTAACTCTTTCATTGACTCTTATATAAGCTATAAAGCATAATGTCCGCAAGTGTTTGAAGAGTATTCTTGGAGTTGCTGCTTGTTATATACATACGTATCGCAGTTTCTATTTAAAAAATTGCAAAAGACAGCCCAATGTTCTCTAGGTTGATTAGAGTAGTCTGTATTTGTTATTATAAGAGTAGATTTAGAGCTCACTTTCGATGGTAAATTATTAGCTGGGAACACACCTTGAAAATACTTCTTTGCAGAGAGATTTGCCTTGGGCGCTTGATCTATTTGTATCGTATTCATTTTGAAGCTTAATTTTCCCAATTTTGTTTTTATCTATCTTTAACATCGAATCCTACCCGCAGTAAACTATGCAAATTACGGCTAATGATAATGGCCTACCAAAATTTCCCTTCAAGGCGTATGTTTCTTTGTCTTAAAATGTTAGCACACAAATCGTTATTGCAATGATCAGTGGAGATGTCAAACGCCAGTATAAAACAGCTATCATCAAAAAGTTTCTTATTCTGTTTGATCTTAATTTTTCTGAGGAGTAATTGAATTCGAGTCGTTGAGCGAAAATTTGAACACCATTGGCTGACAAATTAAACCTTCGCAAATAAAAATGGTCGAACTTGAAGGGATCGTTGTTCGAGCGGGTGAATAAGCGCTATTGTAAACCACACACAAAGCTAAAAATTTTGGAAGTTGTGCTATGACGACATTATCTAATGATAGGATGTGGTTTTCAGGATATAGAGTGAATGTTTTAACTTTTACTTTATTAAATGTATGTGAAGCTATTTTTGTTTTTTAAATTTTATGACGAGCAACCAGTATTCCTGGATCAATAGTTATGTGATTCATAAACAATTGTGCTTCCAACATATTAAGCTGCGTTTCCTTAGTAGGATTTTGCATTAAATAAAATGATGATTTTTCCAAATTAAGTATAGTGCGCAAGTCAACATTACTTAGCAAGAGTTTAGGTTAATTAAAAATATCTGCATGCAGCTTTCCGAACAATTCAACTTTGTTACTCTTATCAAACAATTCGGTTAATTGTTTTTTACCATCATGAAATATTTCACCGGTGTAGTAATCTGGACATCATCCAGAACATGATAAATGAGTTCGACCTGCGTCAGTGACATAATTAAGCAGAATTTGTATGTATGATCTGTAGTGATAATTGTTGTCACTTTATGAAACCAATATGTTATTTAAATATACGGATACGCTTCGAAGCATGGAATGCAGAAGATTATTTACAACGCTACACTTATCGTCAGTAACATCAGAATTATCTTTATTCCTCAATTGAACAACCAACTTTAAATAAACGCTGCAAAGATCTCGATATGTATCGCCATTACCAAGCCATAGAAATTCTATGGAGCTAGGGTTGTCTAAGCATTGAATAGGATTATAAAAGACTTCTTCTGTATTTAGAATGCTGCCTTGTATAGGATGAGATGCAAATAAATCTAATTCACGTTTCATACATTCTATATGAGTGCTCATAGTTTCTGAGCAAATACGTCTTTTATTTTGTTACGTAGATTGTATTTTTTTGTGCGTTTCGAGGTAGATATCTTTTGTGACTGACGTGTTTTCTTTTTGATGCGACGTCTTAAACTACTTTTTCCAGAGCCTTTTTGAATTTAGATCTTGTTGACTGCTTTCTCTGTTAAATTACTTAAAGCCTTTTTGCTTTCCAAAATGCCAAAATGTTTCTAAGTTGTTTGCGGACGAAATGATTGAGAATAGATTTGTTTGTTTCCATAGCTTGGTCTTTAATCGCAATCAATCCTGATCGAAACAACGGTTTTAAGTTTCTAAAAAAAGACGCGAAGAATGAATCAATATCGCGCCCATGTTGTGCGACTCGTGGTGACACATATAATGATCCTATGTGACTTAATCCACTTCCGATTTGATTAGAGTAATATGAAGTATACACTTGCTTTCATTTATATCGGATTGATTTTAATTTTGTTTCTTTTTTCTAAAGTGTAGAGTAATCTAAGTAAGTATAATGAAATTACGAAGACTGCATTCGGGCCCGTTTGCAATAACGAGGTTTTGTTACATCAGTATAAATAAATAAAGGTGAATAATCCTGCTCTTGTTATTGAGGTGTACCATTTTCTATATTGGCATTATTTAAAGATAGTTCGGTTATACCAACTTCCCAGTGATCATTTGTAATAACGGAAAAATTTACAATATTTGCAAATGAGGACAAAGTATTCTTTTCGTAAACGGCAAATGAATTGTTACTTAAAAAAGCTACATAAAAACCCTCCATGTAGTTCTTGGCCTAAAAGCTGTTAGACAAATGAACTCAAAAACGATTGTACTAGTTTTTTATTCAACGTTAGTGCAAATATACATTTTCATAAAGTAATCCACTTAAAACTATTTCCGCCTTTCTGAATTGAAGATTTGTGACTTGATTTTTGTTTTTCGTCTGGATGGATAACATCTGTAGACAGGCCGTTTTAAGTTAAATCCAACTTAGTTTTAAGTTGGCTTTTAAGTCGGGTGTTATATGGAGCAATGCGTGTTTGCATTCTTGTTTTTCTGCTCGATTTTGCAGGATGTACGCTTACTTGGTGTGGTGTGGCTTCTATATTTCCGATTAAGAACTTTTCAGGCGTCATAAATTCATCTTTCTAAATACTCCCATCTAAGTCACTTTGTAATTTTTCTCTACTCTTTTTGAAAATGCTGTCGTCGTCTATGTTATTTAGGGAGATTTCAGGTTTTTCAATGTTAACTTTCCCATCTTCTACATTTAGAAAGCGTCATTTCAGGTATTTGATGAAGGTTTTGCTTAATTGATTTTGAGTTTTTTTTGCAACAAGCATTTAATTCTTGTTTAATTTTGATGCACTTGTTATATTCTGAAAAAGAGACGTTCTTGAAATATGGTAATAACTTTCTATTAATAAATTATTGAATATTTGTCATCTATCATTGCAGCGTATGCACTTGAGTACAACGAAATTACTTTATTTAGCTTCGGTTTAAATTTATTGAACATTGTTTAACAATTTTCCGATAAACTCGCTTAATAGTAATGCTGAGATTATAGATAAAAAGACGCCAACTTTCTGCACAAAACCGTTTTTCTTGGAATTTATGGACGTGTTTCGTTTCGAGATGAATTGAAGTTTTTTTTATATTTTTTTTAAAACCTCCCTCTTTATTTTTT